ATTTTTGGGTGAACTATCCCTTTAAAATAAACCATCTGTCACACATCTGAATGCCAGCTGAATGCACTAAACATGCTTACAGCATGCTTACATGCCTGGAAAAACTACCTTCTCAACCCCCAACATCCAACCCCCAGTCACGTGACTCTTTATTGCAAGCTGAAATGTGGCATCTCTATTTCAAGTCGCTGATGGAAATGTGCACAAAGAATGTGCCTTTTTACAAAAGTAGCGCACATGTGAGCTTAAGTGTCCAACTCTTCGAGTCTGACTTTAACCTGGCAACAGGCTTTAAGCGGCCATGTCAATCAAATCAAGCTGCCTCCTCAACCTATCGTTGTGAAGGACTTAAGTAGGAAAAAATGTTCGACCCTGACAGCTTATCAAAGTCTCAGCAGCTCCTCCACACCTGGCGGCACCTGGTCCATACGCTGCTGCTCTCTGACACACCGATCGCTCACAAAAGAACATGCGAAAATCTCTGAAAAGCTTTTACAGAAGTCTTTCTCTCAAAATGATAGCTTATATAATAATTTAAAAATCCTATTTACAAAATGATAACCTACACCCGATACACCCGAGTATGTGCAATCATGAAGCCAAGCACACATGTGTCCGGTCTGAATCACATGCATTACACCTAGGGTCACTAATATAGGCCATTAAAACAAATAGATGTGCAGTTCAAAGCAATCACTAAGCACGCACACCCTCATTGCGGAGGTTTTGTTTTGGCCTTTTTTGACAGAGAATTCAGAAACCTGGTCTTTCTGCTCCCTGCCTGCACCATGATGTGTGACCTCCATCCCTCAAATAGCCCTCTATGTCCTCTTAAATACTAAAAAAGAAACTAATACCAAAGAAGAGCGATTATGCTTTGCATTAGCCAATAGAGAGCTTTTCATACCCTGAACCATTTCAATTCATAACTTACTGAGAAAAAGACACTGTTACCCTTCCACCCCCAGAAAAAGCTTTTAACTGTAACAAGTAGAGCCTCTATTCATGGCCAACTTCTGTGGCCAACCTGTTGCTTAGCAACCACTTAATCAATACCTGGGGCTTGTGAGCGCTAAGCAGACAATTGTAAAAA